TACGTTATCAAGTTCGGAAATTGGTGGTTCGGAAATGCAAAGTTCGGAAATGCGAAGTTCGGAAACAACCAGTTCAGAAATGCGAAGTTCGGAAACTCAGGAAGTTCAAAAACCCGAAGTTCGGAAATTGGTGGTTCGGAAATTCGAAGTTCGGAAATTGAGGAAGTTCAAAAATCCGAAGTTCGGAAATCTAGGGTTCAAAAATCCGAAGTTCGGAAATCTAGGGTTCAAAAATCCGAAGTTCGGAAATTCAGGAAGTTCAAAAATCCGAAGTTCGGAAATCTAGGGTTCAGAAATCCGAAGTTCGGAAATTCAGGAAGTTCAAAAATCCGAAGTTCGGAAATTGGTGGTTCGGAAATCCGAAGTTCGGAAATTGAGGAAGTTCACAAATCCGAAGTTCGGAAGTCGATGGTGTTCGAATTCCGAAGTTCGGAAATTCAAGGGTTCAACAATCTGAATTTCATACGTCAATAGTGGTCGAAATTCCAAGGTCGGAGTTTCAAGTGATTCAAAAATTGTCCATCAGATATTCAGAAATTCGATGGTCGGGGTATCCAACGGTCCGACACTCGATGTTGTTACATCCATCATCATGCATCACTGATCACGTAGTTTTGAGTGTGCACTGCAGAAACGCAGTGCAAGTACGATGCAATGCCGAGCGGAGGGGGAAGGAGGGGAAGGCCGACTTCCCCGTTGCTACTGCAGCCCACGCGCCCCCCAGCGAGGGGCTCGGAGGCGAGAGGGAGAGTGAGAGGGCGTTCTCTCTCTCTCTCTCTCTCTCTCTCTCTCTCTCTCTCTCTCTTTCTGTCCACCACGGCGGCGCGCGCCCCTGCGCGCCTCGTCGGCAGGCCCCGCCTCGCGCGCGCCTCGCGCGCTCCGGGCACGCTCCGTCGTCGTCGTCGTCTCGTCGTCGCATTCGTAGTCGTCGTCGTCGTCGTCGTCGTCGTCTTCGTCGTCGTCGTCGTGGTCATCGTCGTCGTCGTCGTCGTGTCAGTCGCCTCAGTCGTCTCAGTCGTCGTCTCAGTCGTCGCCTCAGTCGTCGCCTCAGTCGTCGTCGTCGTCGTCGTCGTCGTCGTCGTCGTCGTCGTCGTTGTCGTCGTCTCAAGCGTCTCAGTCGTATCCGCGCCTCGCGCGGCGCGCTCCGGGCCTCGACGGGTCTCGCGCCTCGCGCGGCACAGTCGGGCCTCCTACTCTTTGTCCTGGTGCAGCAGCAGCTTCATCAGCGCGTCCATCGAGCCAGGGTCCTGGAAAGGAGGGGGAGGAGGAGGAATAGGAAAAGGAGGAAGAGGAATAGGAGGAGGAGGAGGAGGAGGAGGAGGAGGAGGAGAAGGAGAGGAAGGGAGGAGGATGGCAGAATGGATGCGAAACACATGCGATCCTGGTCGCGCGCAAGCGTCGCTGGCTTGGTCGGCAGCACGGCGAGGGCCCCGATGTAGATCGCGGCCGCACACGTCACCGTAAACATGTTGCCGCCAAGGTCCATGAGGAGCGAGTTGAGGAACCATGGATGAGGGGGGAGGGAGGAGGAGGAGGAGGAGGAGGAGGAGGAGGAGGAGGAGGGGAGGAGGGAGAAGGATGGGGGGAGGAGGGAGGATGAGGATGAGGAGGAGGATGAGGAGGGAGGAGGAGGGGGAGGAGGAGGAGCAGGAGGAGGTGGAGGGGATGAGGAGGAGGAAGACGAGGAACAGGGGGAAGAGGGGGAGGGGAGGTAACGAGAGTCCCTCCCCTCTCCCTCCTCCTCCTCTCCTCCTCCTCCTTCTCATCCTCCTCCTCACTCCCCCCCCTCCATGCTCCTGAATCTCCTCCCCCCTCCTCCCCCTCCTCCTGTTCCTCCTCCTCCTCCTCCTCCTCACACTTCTCCTGTTCCTCGTCCTTTCCCTCCTCCTCCTCCTCCTCCTCCTCCTCCTCCTAGTCCCCCTCCTCCTCCTCTGGGAACGTCGCGTTGCCAAGCCAGCTCATCGGGAACATCTGCACCTTCATGGATTCGTAGCCCAGCAGCAGCCTCTGTTCTTTGACTAGCCACGTCTCCTGCAAGCGAAGGGGGAAGGGTGCGAGGAGGAGGAGGAGGAGGAAGAGGAGGAGGAGGAGGAGGAGGAGGAGGAGCATTAGGAGGGTGAGGAGGAGAATCACGGGAGTCACGACGGCGACGGCGACGACGACTTGCCCATGCAATCCGCGCACGGGCAGAGCGTCTGCAGCGTGCCGTTGTAGCCCCTGCCAGCCCTATCCAGGGACTGGGACACGTCGATGGAGACGAGCTCCTTATCATCCTTATTCTTCGTGCACGGCGTCTCGGTGTGAAGGTGGTACAGCACCGTCTCCTGCTCGCGCTTGCACAGGGCGTTGAACCAGATGTTCGTGTCGAGGGGGGGCTCCGCCATCATGTGCTAGGCAGTGAAGGGAGGGATGGAGGGGGTGTGGGAGGAGGGAAGGAGGGATGGAGGGAAGGAGGGAGGGTGGGAGGAGGGAGGGAGGGAGGGAGGGTGGCAGGAGGAACCACCTTCTCTGCTCGAAGGAGAAGAAGCTCCTCTGATGGCCAGAGGAGCCTCCCTGAGGGTAGCCCCACCTCTGCCTCCTCGAGGACCTCCCACTCTTCCTCGCTCAGGTGGGGCCACGCCGACTGGAGGATGGAGGAGGAGGGAGGGAATGGAGGGAGGGAGGGAGGGGGGGAGTGAGGGAAGGAGGATGGGGGCCTTGAAAGTCAGGCCCTTGGCCTTGAAGGCCTTCTCGTGGGCCTCCGGCCACTTCAACTTCGATGGGCCCGTGGTGGTCTCCGGGGTCTTGCTGGCCGCCGTGCTCCGCGCCGTGCGCTTGTTGTGGGCCTTGTTG